CATCGAGACGGCCCTGCAGTGCCGGCGCATCTCCAAGGAGGAGTACCACCTCTACCGCAACGGCAGCCTCCCCATCTCCGAGTTCGCCCTGCTCGTGGCTGGGGAGACCAAGCCCTGCCCCTCGCTCTCCATCGGCTCCATCATCTCCAAGTCCCCGCTCACCTCCCCGGGCCACCAGAGCGCCGGTTCCTTTTCTCCCGGCTTCTCCTTCGGGCTTGGCGACGACAGCTTCCCCATCGCCGGCGTCTACGACACGACCACCGACAACAAGTGCACCATCAAGACGGCCATGGCCAAGAACATGCTGGACCCCATCACCGGGCAGAAGCTGCTGGAGGCCCAGGCGGCCACGGGGGGCATCGTGGACCTCCTCAGCCGCGAGCGCTACTCCGTGCACAAGGCCATGGAGAGGGGGCTCATTGAGAACACCTCGACGCAGCGGCTGCTCAACGCCCAGAAGGCCTTCACCGGCATCGAGGACCCCGTCACCAAGAAGAGGCTGTCGGTGGGCGAGGCCATCCAGAAGGGCTGGATGCCCCGGGAGAGCGTGTTCCCGCACCTGCTGGTGCAGCACCTGACCGGGGGGCTCATCGACCCCAAGAGGACGGGCCGCATCCCTGTCCCGCAGGCCGTGCTGTCCGGCATGATCAGCGAGGAGCTGGCCCAGCTCCTGCAGGACGAATCCAGCTACGAGAAGGATCTCACCGACCCCATCTCCAAGGAGCGGCTGAGCTACAAGGAGGCCATGGGGCGCTGCCGGAAAGACCCCCTGAGCGGCCTGCTGCTCCTGCCCGCGGCGCTGGAGGGGTACCGCTGCTACCGCTCCGCCTCCCCCACTGCGCCCTATGCGCTGCGCTGATGGGGTGACATCATGGGAGCGTCTATGGGGGGAGGGGAGACTGCAGGCACCCCGCACCCCAGAGCAGCCTCCCCCAGGGGGTGGGTCTTCCCTGTCTGACCCCTGTTCTGTTACCCAGCGTCCATGGTGTTGGGCTCCCTCCCCTGACTCGGTGCCCAATCCATCCCAGGCCCCGACATCAGCAGATCTGTTCCTCCCCACCCTGTCCTTGCAATAAACGAATTCTCCCAGCGTCTCGTTCGCCTTTGGGAGGCAGAGTGAACCTGTCTGGGGATGAGTCCTTCCCACATGCGGGGTGGGCACGCCCACTGGGTGCTAGCACTGGGTGCCCCTGACTCGGATGGATGTGCTGGCCGGCCATGGAAGGAGGGCGCAGACGGGCAAGTCCCTGCTGTGCCCCCAGCAGAGAAACACGGGGACACTCAGAGCATCACTTTTATTTCCTGCTCTTCAATCCAGACGCAAACAAATGTACACATATCCTAGGTGACAACTACTTAGAACAGCCACACACACCAGTACCAGGAAACGTCCCCTCTCCCGCACCCTCCTTCCTGTTAAACTTGGGACTCAACTCTTCCCCCAAACATTTTAAATCCAAAAGACCAGCAGAGGGCGCCCTTCCCCTCAGGGTCTGGCCCTGCAGCCAGGGCTGGGCCCTCGAAGGGCGGAGGAGCGCCTTGCGCACAGCAGTATTGGCGGGCCAGGCTTCCTGCTTTCCCTGGCCTGCTGCCCCCGTGCCAGGAGACCCAGGGCCTATCACACCCCCTCGCACACGGAGCTTCTGTGCCCCCGTCTGGAAACGGCACCGTCGAACCCAACAAACAACACAGGAACTCGCTAACTTGTTGGCAGGATGAACCCAAACTCAGCCCTCTGCCGGCTGATGCAAATTCCTTAGAGCTCTGCCCTCTCCCCAAACATGGCCCCCTTCTCGGGGAGCCGTGAGGAGGCGGCGGGCGGCAGCTGGAGGGAGGCTCTGCGGCGGCGGCCTCGGCATCCTCAGCGGCAGACACGCTCCAGCACACACTGGTGGGGGGCCAGGGAGGTCTCCGTGGACGAGAAGTACGGGTGGGCCAGGGCGCCTTTGGCCGAGATCCGCTGGCTGGGGTCGTACTGCAGGAGTTGCTGTGAAGGGAGGAGGGGGAGAGGAATTAACCCCCCGCCCCCCGGGCTGGAGGGCCCCAGCCCCAAAGGGCTGCCTTCAGACCCAGAACTGCACAGAGCGCCTCCTCCCAGCTCATGAGCCGCTCCGGACACTCCCAGGACGTGGAGACCAAGACTCAGTCCGGGTCCAGCCCTGCTAAGCCGTCTCCCCTCTGTGCTGCGACTTCCAGGCCCCATCTCCTATCGCTGAGACAGACTTCTCTCTGTACCAGCAAGTGGGGGCCAAACCTGCCGGCTGGGGCAGGAGCTCCCAGACCCTCCTCCCAGCCAGGCTGCGGGAGGAGGAGCCAGGACAGTGGGGCTGCTGGCACAGGCTTCTGGAAAGTGGGACGTGTGGCCTGACGATGGAAACAGCCCCGCCTGCCTCGGCCCGACACCAGTGAAAGGGCGAGAACGAGGCGGCTCTGCTCAGGCCTCGGGGGTCCGGCCTGGCCAGCCCGCGGGGTCCGGATGGTGCAACAGGAGGGTGAGCGAGGACAGCCTGGCGTGGGAGTAACGTGTGGAAGGCACGGCGGGCACACTGACGCAGGAGGGGTGGTCCCTGCCCGGAAAAGCTCAGTTCCCATGGGGTCATAATGACCACGGGAAAACGACCAAGGACACAAGGCAACTGAGGGAAAAGGGCCAGGATCCCTGCAAAACCCCGCAGAGCCAACTAGCAGACAGCCGTTTAGAAGGAACGGTGAACGCTGGACTTGCCATGGGCGAGGTCTCCAGGTGGAACAGTCAGTCTGCCCAGGGACAGGCAAGCCAGTGCGGGCAGGGGTGAGAAAGGAGGCCAGCCTGGACTTGGGGAGCCGGGGTGGCCTGCGGCACCGGCCAACAGAAGGGACACTTGTGGCGGGAGCAGCAGCTGGAGCAGGAGGCCTCGTGCCCTCCCGCCACCGCCCGGGACCCACCTGGAGCAGGTCCTTGCCCTCTGGCTCCAGATTGGGCACCACATCCTCCAGCCCCTTCCGGGTCCACTTGGGGAAGCTGCCCTTATAGTCAGGCAGCTGGGTGACTCCCGGCCACGTGGCTTCGCTGGGCGTCCCCAGGGTCCGAAAGATGCGAAAGAGCTGGTCGATCTCAGAGTCTCCAGGGAACAGAGCTTTGCAGGTCACCTGACGGGGGAAGAGGAGAGGTGTGGGGCCCACGCCCTCATCCCTGGGAACCCAACACCAGAGCAGAGGCCAGACCAGCTGCTAAGGCCCGGGCCCCAGTCCCTAGCCAGTCCCTTCATGCCCCGCCTGCCCCTCTACCATCTCCGCGAAGATGCAGCCGACGCTCCAGATGTCCACCGCTGTCGAGTAGAACTTGCTGCCCAGGAGGATCTCGGGGGCGCGGTACCAGAGCGTCACCACCTGCGGGGGCCGGGCGAGGGGTCACTCAGGGCAGCCGAGGGCGCCGGGGCTCCCCTTCGGCCGCCTGCCCTCCCGCCCCGGACCTCGTGGGTGTAGGTGCGCAGGGGCACCCCGAAGGCCCGCGCCAGCCCGAAGTCCGCCAGCTTGATGGCGCCCAGCTCGTTGATGAGCAGGTTCTGCGGCTTCAGGTCGCGGTGGATGACGCGGTGCGCGTGGCAGAAGTTCACCCCCTGCAGCAGCTGGAAGAGGTAGCTCTGGAGCAGGGAGGGGGGCCGGCTGAGCGCGGCGCTGGCTGAGCGGGGACCCCCCGGGGCCGCCCCCCCATACCTTGACCAAGTGCAGCGGGAGCTCGGCCACGGGGGTGGCGTCCATGAACTTCTTCAGGTCCTGGCTGAGGAACTCAAACACCAGGTACAGCTTCTTCTCGCTGTGCACCACGTCC